GACCCGGCACACACACTCGAACACACACACTCGAACACACACACTCGGACACACAACATATGCAACAGCAGGAGGAAAAGAGTGAGAAGGGAGGGGGAAAATATAAAGCCATTTGGGTTTGTACGCTGGAAATTAACATGAAAAGGGCAAAGCGCAGCTGCCATTCGCGTTTGGCCGAATATGTGAGATTGGTCCAGAGGCCACCCGAAAATCCCCTTATCCCCCTTCCCCTTCCCCTTTCCCTCCACCAAGAGTGGTCAATGCCAGAAGGTCGCCGGGAAACAAGAAAAAACCCTCCGAAAAAAAAACCCCACTAAAACACATAAAGTGGCGCACTAAAGCTGCGAGCTCGGCAAAGTGATTAAATTGAGTTAATTATGTCCACCGAGAGAGAGTGTGTTGGAGCAAGACAAATAAGAGTTTGAAGTTGTACATAAATTATTACAAGGATATTAAATGCGGCGCACAAAACGTGGGGATTACCCAAGTATTAAGTGCATATTATCAAAGGCCGTTAAATGCCAGATATAAAACATTCGGCCTGCGCGAAATTGCTTTAATCAGCCCTTAATCTTCATTACAAAAAACGCTTTGTCTTTGTTAAGGGGTTATATACCTTTTTGAGCGAAAAAAAGAGGGAACTTTGGATTTTTTTTCAGGTGTGAAGCAATTATTTTATGATACTGAGGTTATTATTTATTGATAGTACATGTTTTTATAGACACAATAAACGTTTAATCTTAAAAAAATATATATAACTTTCGAAGTTATGGCAATTCTCTCATAACCCTTTTTTTTTATAGCGGCTTGCGGTGACCACGATGGAAGTCCAGCGGGTCAACTAAAATCAATAAACCAAAAAAATTTTATTAGTTTAGTATTATTTCTAGTTCGTCATTGAATTACTTCAAGAATATTTGGTTTTTTCTGCATACAGTAACAATTTTTTCAAAAAATTGATTTTTCGAGCTCTAAAAATTTTATTAAAAATTTCTTATCTGCAAAATCGAAATTGGCGCATAAAAACTGATTCAATGACGAACTCGGCACAATCATTACGAATATTAAAAAAAAAATTGAAGAAGATCGATCAAATAGTTCTTGTGCAATCGCGGTCACAGCAAAGGCACTTTTGGAAAAAAACGACTTTGAGATAATCGCATTCAAAGTTTTACGTTGCGTTACAAAGAGTGACGAACCGCCCCTCAAAACGCTGTTTTTCTATCGAACTATTATTCGGATCTCTTCAAAAATTTGGGAAAATGTTCTCTAGGGGATATACTTTAGGATTCAGCAAAAAAAAATTTTTCGTTTTTTTGAAAAAAAAAAGGTATATAACCCCTTAAGTCTTTCTAAAGTGGTTTGTTTCTTTCTTATTTTCGGTTGCCAAAAATATTTCTCATTTAAAAAGCATTTGGCAGCGCGCAGTGAATTGCCATTTCGATTGAGTTATGTCGCGAAAATTTGCCTTACGAAATCGAACTTCTATCAAAGTTTATCAAAGCCAAAACATTTAATGGTTGTGCAAAATGTTTCCACCATTTTTTTATTTCTATTTTTCGCTTATCCCTTTGGACCAACCAGCCAGCGTTTTATTTGCGCTTTTTACGAGTAGTATGTTGGCCCGGCTCTTATCTAAAAACCCGTTAAATTTATTATGCAACATTGCGCGCGGGTGGCAAATGCGATTTCTCATTCGATACAGATTCAGGTAAACATTCGCCGTGTGTGTCCGGCAAATAAATAAAAGCGAAAATTTTCTGCTGGCGCGTGTAGCGCGAAATAAAAACCGAAAAACATTAACAAGCGGCGGCGAAAAAAATTTAACTTAATTGCCAAACACACACACACACACACACAGACGAACACACACACACACAGTGAGACGCCCACAAAAGGGTGTTGGGTTGCGTTGTTGCTGTGGTTGTGTTTTCCGCGGGGGGCTTTCCGGGGGTCGGAAAAGGGGGCGGACCTTTCTGCTCTTGGCGTGCGTGCGCCGTGCGATATAATTTATGTTTCAATAACTTTCGAAACTCATTGAAAAGTCGCTTATGTTTGCTTCAATGGCAGCAGCAACAACAACAACAACAACACAAACAACAACGCGCACAAGAAGAATGCTAAAAGTACAACAATAAATTGTTTGGATTTACTTATGCCAAGGGGAAGGGGAAGGGAAAGGGGGTGGGGAGAAGGGGGGTTGACTGGGTGCCGAGTTTTCCTTAGTCGGCGCTGCCATTTCCCATTTTACTCAATTTTTTATTGTTGCTGCACTTGAGCGACCCCGCTTTGTCTTCTCACCCGCAAGAAAATTCCCGCTCAACTTGCAAAAGTTTTTCGCTATTTTCCCTCTCATTCTTTTACTTTTTCTGTGAATGTGTTTTGTTTGCCATTTGCTTTCATTTTGTTTTTCGCGGCTATTGCCTTTTTTCTCTCGAATTTTCCCCCTTCTGGCGCTGTTGTTCATTTGGTGCTCTTAAAATTTATTTGCAAGTTTTCTAATTTGTACTTCACTCCATTTTATTGTAATATACAATCTCATTTGAAGTGAGATATCTCAGGACATCTATCTCACGGAGAAAAGCCCGAGTACAAAGGGGAAAGGGATGGCTGCAGAGAGCGAAATTAATTGTATTTTAATTGTAGGTACATTTAATACCTCTACCATATAAACTTATTCTGATTATTTCAAAAGAATTTACTTTAAATATTCGAATACAAAATGAATTAAATGAACTAATATACATATATACTACCAGATAAACTCTTTATAAGTTAATATTTCTGAGAATTTTACTTTAAATATTCGTATACAAAAAATATTTTAGGCTCTAATATCCCTGGTTAAAGTTAACCAACAGTTCTTCGATGACATCGAAAACAACATCAACGTCAATGGTTGTGTTGATGTTTTCTATCTCCCTGTTATGTTATTGCCTGCTATTTCCTGGAGAAACTTTTTATCTCGGTGTAACGAGTTAGCGGGGTGTCCTATAAGTATGCAATGCCTGCTGAATGCTGATCCTAGCGGTGTATCCTTGTTTCCTGTTTCGGGACTGGGGCGCATATTTATTAACCACACTGTTGACTCTCGCTGCGGCAACTTTGCGTGCAGCTTGTTGCTCGTCGTTGCCCTGCCCCTTTTGCTCCTCCTCATCCATCTCACTCTTCCGGTTTTGAATTTTTTTGTCGCACCTTCTCAGGAATTCTGTTTACATTTATTACTTTGCGCAAGTTTAAGTGAAAAATTTCCATAAACATTCTTTTAAGCGACATAAAGTTTTTATTAAATTTTGCTAGAAATCCCTGACACGATGATATCAGGCAACAACGGCAACGGCAACGGCAACAAATAGAGCTGCGGAATTTACAACTACCAGAGGGCAGAACACCTGCCACCCCGAGCTGCCGCTTTTCCAGATACTTTTCCAAGGGTGGGCGTGTTTGGCTGGAGGAAACCAGGGCGGGGGAAAACTGGGGGGACGAGAAGTGCCAACTGTTTTACTGTTGGCAGTACGAGATACTGCTCCAGCTTCTGCTGCACGCAGTTCATAAAAATTTTGCCAGCCAACATGACATGCACAAAGGCGAAAGGACACACGGCTTCAGATCCTGCGAGTGGAAAAGAGTGAAAAAGAGTGGAAAAGAGTGAAGAGCAGAGGTGGAATGAAGGTGGCATAAACTTTCGTCGCTTGTTAACCTGAGAGCTTCGCCGCCACTCCACTGACATTAGATGAAATTCAATTAAAACAAAGATATATTTCGTTGGACAAATTCCAGCAGGAGTTGTTTAAGTCGGGTGAAAAAATGCTCTTAAAAACGGGAACTTCCGCACATTGTGTATACGCCCCATAAAACGCTTAATTAGTGCAAAAAGAAAACGGCACATAAATACTTTCTAGTTGCTCGGTCTTTAATTTTCCTTGTTGAAGAGTTCTCAGGGTTTCAGGTTGCGGAAAGTAATCGTTGATTGTAAGCTTTAATTTAATTATTTCAATTAGAAATCGCTTTATCAATCAAATATCCGCAGAATAAACAGCCCCATAAGTTCAATAAGAAAACTGTGCATAATTAATTCCCCGTCGAGTGGTCTTAAATTTTATTTGGTGTATATTGAAATTGAAATTGACTCGTTTAAAAGCCATCTCATTATTCATACTGTCCGCAAAAACCAGCTAATTTACGTTAAGCATTTTTAAATAAGGTCAAAGTGCAGGGGTGGCGGTGAAGGGGGCGTGGCCGATGTGAGGGTATTGGCCACGTTCAGCCAACTGAAAGTTGATCGAAACCGCAACAAATGACAAACGTTACGGGGAAAAATACACAACACAGAACCAGGCACACACACACACACATACGTTCGGAAAAGTGGGGAAAACGGAGTAATAGGTAGAGGAGTAACGCAGAGCAAAAAAAAAAAAAAGTAAAATCAATGAAAATGAAAACCAATTAGCGGTTAACCAAACTGTTCAAATTTGGAAATGGATGCAGCCGTGCATGGCCATAAACAACAACGGCAACAAAGACGGCAGAAACGGAGAAGGACGGCAGATGAGTGATAGAGAGGTCAACAGCAGGCGGGCTGAAAGGTAAAAGGTTGCCGGGGTTACAAATTTATTGCACGAAAATAGGAAATAATTAAAATCAGTTCGAATGCGGACACCAATTCTGAGAACGAGGAAGCACTATTTGATTGATAAATCAAAGAACGCAGTTGAATGATTTGCAAAGGGGGAACCAATTAAAGAAAAAGTGTGGAGAAATATAACAACTTTATTTTTCTATAATAACGATTGTTCAGAAAATTGTACAAAAATAAACATTATTATTACACATTTTCCTATTTCTTATTATTAAGAATCCCCTTTTGGCCTTTACTAATCTCATAAAATATTTAGCCCCTAAAACTTTTTGTTTTCCTCCAGACACCAAATACATCTTCATAATTGACCAGGAGAGAACAACCCTTTTTCCTCAAAGTTCCATAATAAATTACTCACCTGGATCTGCGCGTCGTGGGATCCTTCATGACCATAGCCTCTGAGATATCACCATAACGTCCGAAGTAATCGCGTAAACTCTCTGAAAGTGAGATAAAGAAATGCAGTGAATAATCAATCAAAGCAGGTTTATGGAATGTCCTGGGGTTACACTCAAGTGCGGCCATCAAAATCACGACGCCAAAGTTACTAATTTCGTTACGCGCTTAATAAAAATAAACCCGAAACAAAAAGTAAAAGGCAGAAAAAAGAATTTCGCGCGATGCCCAAATAAACAAACTGGTTTTCTCTGCTGGCAGAGGGTCTCCCCAAAACATCTCCCCTCCATACCCTTTGCATTCGCAACTGGACATTATTCACATGCATACTCGCAGGATACACTCAGATTTATTATTATAAATTATTTGGAACCATATGCGAAGGAAATACATTACATTTGGATTTAGAAAGTAATATTAACACAATTAATAATCAATAATAATCAAATTGATTTTTTTTAATTAGCACATTTCTTGATTGAATTTACCTATTTATTTAAATAAATCTTATTCATGCTCAACATTTTTAAGTAAAATCAACAAATGCTTCCCAAGTTTACTTAAAATAAATTAACAATTGTCATCTGCCAACTGTAAGTGAGTAAGTATTTAATTGAATTTATTTACCTTGGGAGCATAAGTTGAACTTTTTATTTGGAGCAGGTAAATATTTGTATTTGTCATGATTTTAAAATATGTTAATATTTCTCCGACTGTAAACACACACAAAGTACACAGACCACTTCAGACTCGCTGCTTTGGTTGCCAGCGGCAGCTGTTGTCTGCGGTTTTGCGAGCTAATCTGACTCTGACTCCGGCCGAAGGATGCGGATGCGGATGGAGGATGCGAGTGGTGGATGCGAATGGAGGATGAAGGGAGAAGGATATAGAACGGGGAGTGGGGGCACAGGACTCCTCCCGGCTGGAAGCACTTCAGCGGCACGTACGCACACAAACGCAACACTGAAGTTATTTCAACAAAATTGCCAGACAAGCGGGACCAGTGGCGGCGGATGGGGATTCCGATGGAGAAGGGGAATGGGGAAAGGGGGGTCGCACGACAGATACCAAGGCTCGTTGGCTGCGATTTAATGCAGCAAAACAAGCAAAATAAAACCGATAAAGTCATCTCTCGCCGGCGGAGGAACCCTAATCCAGTCGAGTGTCGACGCTGGCGTCATAAATTCAAACTACAATAAAAATTCAATAAAACAAACGATTTTGCCGCTAACGCCGCGTGGCCAAGACGCTCTGGCCATAAATGTGGTGCGAGAAATCGCACCAGGGAACCAGCGCCACCATCGCACCACTAAACCCACCCACTCCCAACACACACGCACCAAAAACAAAGCTAGAGCAACTAGTTGCGCCTTGTGTCGATGCAAAAACGGGGCACTTGTATAAAATATGTTGTTATTGCTCAACAATAAAGAAAATATTTTATAAATTTAATTTTTAAAAACGATGGATTCATGACATATTGAAAAACTATGTGAAATATATCTCCATTAAAAGATTTATTTTCTTTAATTTATTGAAAGGCTTCTTTAGAAAAGGGAAACTCAAGAAGAGCAAAAGTAAAGAAATTAATCTTTAATAATATTTTTTATTATTTACCTTAAGTCTGATTCAGTTAAAAAGAGAACTCAAAAATATTTACTTAAATTTCAGTACCGAACTTTTCTCAAAACATCAGTTAAGCATATCAATTCCTTGCCAACTTTTTTAAGAGTGCATAGAAAATGTGTGCAAAGAAAGGGTTCGAAAAGGGGAGTAGAAAACGGGGTGGAAATGGGGTGGCTGGTTCCACACACATACAGACCGTCAAGTGGGGGCAATGCAACGCAAAACGCGAAGCTCGTCGCGTGATTTACATAAGTATGCACAATAATTATGAACAATAAAAAACAATTTGTTTGCTTATGACAGTTTTGGAACCATAAATAACAACAGCAACTGGCGCAGCGGCTCGAGTGGCGTGTGGATGTGGAAAAGGGGAGATGTAAAGCGGGAAATGGGAAAGCGGTGGCAAGCTTGTATGCGTGTGTGGCATGCAAATTGATGGGGCAGCCAAAGGGGTTCGTTCCATTTCGTTACGTTCGTTGCGTATGTGGCGCTGCGAAGTATGCTACACTTTAAGTTTTAATGGTCGATTGCCCCTCACTGTCCTTGGGGGCAGGGGCCACTATTCTACGGCATGACTTGGCCATTAGTTCGAGTTGAGGTGTAAATAAACCAGTTGGAGTTACCCACATTCCACAGCTGTGATTGAGTGGCTCGCCGGAAATGAGAATTCGCAGGTCATTTGTTACGGTCGCAAGGTATAAAATGGTGGGAATTTCATAATAAATACGTTATATTTTCTAAAACTATGTTCATTATAATTCTTTATACATTATATCCATTTATTATATATAACTACTTTTGTTAAAAATTCAGTTAATAATTGTTTAATCAACTTTTTCAAATAATGTTCTTTACATTGTTGATAACATTATAATTTAATTTATGTTTGAAAACCCTTCGTTCTCCGTTCGATCTATTAATCAACATAACCATTCTATCGGCCCCAATTGTATTCATTAATTGCAATGTTTTAGAGTTCTTTCAATCAACTTTAATTTGTAAGCTGCCCTTTGGCATTGCAATCCCGATTTATTTTTGATTTACATAGAGCCGCACTCTCCCAGATAACAAGATTCCGAGTGAAATGCCAAAATGAAGTCATCATCAACGTGTCAATCAGTGTGCCATATCTCACTTTCGCCGCACACAATATTTCAAACACGGGGCATACCTTTCCGCCCAATTAACCTCTTCGCCGTTTCTCGCAGTGCAGCTCCCCCACCCCTTTTCGGCGAACCCCCCTCCTGTCATCCAATGCGACGTTCAGTTTTGAGTGACAGCTGCAAAGTTTGTTTTGCATTTCATATTTGCGAGCTCGTCTGCGACCCCCGCAAACCCCTCAAACCCCCTCGAACCTCCATTACCCACATTTCAGTGGAGCTCAGTGCCAACTGTCACTTGACCGGCCAAAGCCCGCCCCCTGCCACGCCCCCGCCCCGAAAAACCAACATGGCCAATAGAAAAGCTGGCAAACAAAATAAATGTGTAAATGTGAAGAAGCAAAAAACTGGCAAAAAAATGTAAATGGTCAACAAATTAAAACGCGCAAAATAAAAATAAAATTAAATTTATTTTCTACCCAACGGCTGGGAAAAAATATAAAAATAAAATACACATAACAAAAAAAAAAGGAGGAGGAGAGGGAAAGAGCGGGGAAGAGAAGAGAAGGACGAAAGGAGCAGCGACAAGAGCGAAATATATTGTAACGGGCCAAAAGCCAAACTTGGATTTAATTAAAATGTTTACCACAGTCATTTCATTTTCATAGCCAGCAAACATAAATTTTGAAGAGGAAAGCGTGTGCGAGTGAGAGAGGGCGAGGGTCGGGACCGCAGAGCGAAACAGCTGCAAGAAAATGCCAAAAACATTAAAGTTACCACACCATACTAACGCAAAAGTGGAAATTTTGATTGTTGCATTTTTGGTTTGGGGTGAAAACAATAAACGATAAACAAAATAGCTTCAATCTGGGAGGAAAATGGATTTGCAGGTAATTAGTTCAAGCAGGCACACACACACACACATACACATAAACACACTCACCCAAAGCGAATTTATCCCGAATCCATTTAGTGGGATTATTTATAAGAAAAGTCTAGGCCGTCTCCATTCCACCCAAGGCAATCCGTTTTGCGGTTGCAGGCATATTAACCCCTTAACGTCCTGCTAGCCCTTAACCCCTCCGTTCCCCCACCGTACCCCAAAAGGTCCCCAATAGGCCACCGCACATGTTGTCAAAAGCACAATGCTGAAACCATAAATTTATGTGCTTTCTATTGTTTTTGCCAAAGAAAGCGGAAGTTGTGTGCTCTCTGCGGTGAGCTGGGGGCTAAGGGGCCGAGGGGGGAGTGGGCTGGAAAAGGGGGGAAAACTACACAGCAGCAAAACGGCAACAAAAACCAGAATGAGTGAAAAAGGTGTGCGCAAAGGGATTTCAATCAATTGTGAGGCGAACTGAGGCAACTGGCAGCCAGAGCAACAAAAACTAAAGCTCAGCTTCAGTTCCGTTCGCTTTGGCGCTGCCCTGACCTACACTGAAATAAAAGTATGGGACGCAGAACAGTTAACAAAACTTAAATAAAGGATTGTTAATTGGATTAATAACCTGCCCACGTAATAGAGAATTTTGAAAAAAAAACCCTTTTGTATCACATTTCTATGACTATTTTATTTCGTTTATGAAAGCCTCTTAGATTTTAATATTCCCAAAATTGGAAAAATGTTTGCTTAACATACATATTCTTGTATTACAAGTATATATTTAAATTTCGATATAAATTTAGAATTGTTTTTTCAAAGATGAATCTAACAATTATTTTAAATTTCAGCCAAGATCCGAGTTGAATTAATTTTTAAAGCCTCTAATCATTCAAATAACTGTTTTTAAATACCTTCAGGACTTGAGGTTTAACCAACTAGTTTAACCAAAAGACCAATCTTTTATTTCTTAATTAAATACCACGATTTAAAAAATTGTATTTTTTCCTCAGCGCATCGTTTTGTTGGAAAACGCAAATTGCCATTTTGTCTGAACGGCAAACGAGATGGCAATTCACTGGAAGAAAGGGATGCATAGAACAGGCAAAGAAAGAGACGGGGATATCTACCAGTAGTGGCTGTTGTAACACATCCCGGTCGTAGCATCATTTTTCATGCGCTCCAACAACTTTTGACAAAGGTCGGTCAAGCAAGTCTTAAAAACTTTGCGACAAGACAACGCACGTTCCGTTCCAGTCCCCCTTAATCCCCCCCCCCCTCCACCACCCCCTTTCCAACCTCCTGGCAGCTTCGTCCTGCGAGAGCCTGCCTTTCGCTTAGTGAATTACGCCGGCTTTAAGGGGTTAAGGTTCAGCCCCCCAGGGCTACGGGTAACAGTTGTCGCTGTTTGCTCTTCGCCCTAAGCCGTAAATAATAATAT